GAAAAGAGAGGGGAGTGCCAACATCACATCTGAGGGCAGGTGAGCAAACATTGGGACATCCTCTGATCATCTCATCTCTGGTCCTCATTCCAGTTTAGAAACACAAAAGCCTGGTCACTTGCAAAGCAGAATCTCACTAAATAAACTCCTGTATGGAATAGATTCGTGTGTTTTCATACATATACATGAGTTGAATATGTAATCACAGGGAACCCACCTCTGTTTGTGACGTCTGTGACGCACTCCCCGCTGTCTCCGCCTCTTCAGCACTTGGTGCAAGCTCTTTTGACCTTGACCAGTGCAGCACTTGGTGGGTATGGGGGCCGGGCACATTCACATTCCATTTCAAGGTTTCAATGGATCAAACAGGTTCAATTGGCCGGCCGACATTTCACAATTTGCCGAAGTGATGTTTTCTCTTACTGACTGAGAAAACAGGTAATGGGATGCGCCCGCCCTTGGTATGGGAGTGTCGTGGTTGGTCGCCTACTCTGACCCCGCAGTTTCCCTGGAAGATAAAGATTAACCAAACCTTCCACCTGTGCGTGTTCAGTGGAGAAAACAATTCCAAAACAAAAGGCTTTAAAAGGGGTTTTCTCCAAGTATCATGGGATAGAGGTAGGGGTAGGGGAGACTTTTTTAGGGACACCCCCCCCCCCAAAAAAAAAAAAATGGAAGGTTATCCACTCACTATAGGTAGCTACTCATGGGACGGACAGGTGGGTGCTGCCACAAGGATCCAACAGGTCCAAAAGCTTCACACATGAAGGGAGTCGCCGCCCACGATCTACATGTGCCAGGTCGAACAACGGAACTCCTGGTTTAATCATATTCAAGATCAACCTAGTCCATGACTTCATCTGAGCTCTTGGCTGAGGCGTTGCCTTCACTGGCACCGCCGGGCTCGGCGGAACCGGCACCGCCGGGCTCGGCACTGGGACCGTGGGCTTGGCGGCGGTCTTGGCCTCGGTGGTGAAACCGAGGCCTACATTTCAACCACGTGACAGTCGGAAGTCCCTAACAACCCATCTAAAAAGCCGAAAAGCATCTAATTAAAACCAATCCTAAACCATTACATGTCGTACCACATCCCGAAAACCATCTAAAAGTTTGAAAGCTCTACATGGCAACACTGACCTCGAAGAGTGAAGAAGGATTGAGGCTGAAATTCACATCAACTAACCTCTGCTTGGGAAAAGTGATGGGTCAGCAATCCCGCCAACCGCTGACAGGAAAAGGCTTCTCAAGAAGCCGTAAAGTCAATGCAAGCTGTGTCACAAGAGTACCAGGCAATTGTGACAGGCCTTACCCAGTCTTGATCGAGAGCTCTGTGTACGGAATCTATATTTAAAAGAATCTGAGCCCTCCCTTTACGCCCTCTGTGCTCCTGTTTCCCGCTGTCCACTCCCCATCCCGATGCCTTAGCCTTTGGCTTGCGGACGGCCTGGCGGGCACGATCGGAGGGTGTTGGTGGAGTTTGCCACTCCAAAGGGTGGATGACAATGTGTTGCAATTAGTAGGTGATGATAGCGATAGAACGTGGATGATGATGATGATGATGATGATGATGATGATGATGATGATGAATGATGACTGATGACTGATGACTGAGTATGACTGATGAATGATATAGTTATACATACGGTCTGGAAGGGCGTGTCTAATGGCAGTCTAGTCTGGTGGTGAAGGTTTGATCCTGGGCATGACCCCTCTACTCGGCACCGGCACAAAAGCTGGTATATGTTGGGCTTATCCTATTTACCAGCAACAGTGGATGATGATGGTGAGTAAAGGCCCTTCTCAATCATAGTGAAAATTTATTTACCGACTGTTGCAGGTAATAGGACAAACTCAAATTATATGGTATTATCATGTATCATCTTATCTTTTTGAACTAGTGTCACATTAGTGTCTGCAACTCTGTCACCAGCCCTGGTGTGAAACCATTTCATGTCCATCATCGTGGTACAACATGTCCAATCCAAAAACATGAACATTCCCCCGTCAAAAGCCCAAACACCTCACCATACGTGACACCGTTTTCTGAATCCAAATGAGCTTATTGTGGCGGAAATCTCCTTCCCAACCTCCGTGCCGCGGCTCTTTGGGACCGTCCGAATGCGGTCCTGCGCACGTTCTGCCCATCCACCGAGGAGTGGTGCCTTGACGATGCTGAAGTGCGGCCCAGGAAGCGTCTCCAGCTCTTGCGTCCTGCGCACCGGTCACACCCGTTACCCCCGGCGCATGGCGCAGAAGGCTGAGATGGATGGAGTTATGACGAAGCACCTGAGCAAGGAAGGAGTGTGGGCTCATAGGTTCATACGTTTAACATGTTTTAACCACCAGTTCCTGCTTCAAAGCGATCACGTTCAACTTCTGATTTGCCTGCCAGAAATGGTTTTGACTCACACAATCACTAGCACTGATGTGGTTGGGGAACTCCCTGATGTTCTATCCTCTTTGTGCTTTTTCAGGGGAGCTCTGGACCTGAGCTCACCGGCCCTCGTAAAGCTCAGCTGGAAGAAATCTGATAGGTTTGAGGACAACTTGGCAGGTGTTTTGGAAATCGAAAGTGCATGAGCTCACTCAATAGCAATACAAGTTAAGAGATGCCTCGAACTCGAACTCATTGTGGTACCACCCATGCTATCCAGCTGGGCTCCCCCCGCAAGCGTAGCAGCTCTTGGCATTGCTTTCGGAAGCCTCGAGGCAGAACCAGGGCAGCAAGAATTCTTTTTCCCTCTCCCATGGCTGAAACATTGGTTATGCATTGCTGCATATCCGCATGGCCGTCCAAAAGCCCAGCGGAAAATACGCGACCCACATCCATGTTCTGGCAGTTTCTTCATGCAATGAAGTAGACAAAGGGCCGACAAGAATATGGTAGCCATCCTCCAAGATTCTCACACCCTGACTGGCACATACTAGCACTGCATACCAGCCTTGTAAATGGTGGGTGGGCCCAGGACCACCTTCTGTTTTTACAATTTTCTGTATGGACGGCACTCAACCCAAGAGGATTGTTTGTGACATGACTTGCGGACGTGTCTATCCTATTCTATCCTCAAGTTGTCTTTTTTGTGTGACTGAGGTATCGCTTCAATACCTCAGGGCAAATGGACTCCTTTTCGGGCCCAACGGCTGACCTGGGTATGGTCGATCTAAAGGTCCTTCACATGGGTCTTTTGGAGGGAAGACGCTCGCACCGCCCCTATCCCTTGCCCCTGTCCCTTGTCTCATGTTTCTTTGGCGACCCCAAAAAGTAGTAAACCTGCAGTAAATGGAGAGTACTCCTTCACCTGGTGGGTTAAGAAGACAGATCCCAGGAGGTGGTCTATATGCACCCCAATCGAGGAGGGGTTTATGGCGAGACTTGCCATCTGAAACCACTGTACGGATGACGGATCCCTATTCATCGAAGTGGTCGAACTCGCTGAGATCTCCGAACCTCGTCCAACCAAGTCAGAAGTCCAATGAAGTCAGAAGTTAAGAACAGGGCCCCTAGCAAAGATTGGGTAATTCGTGATAATGCTTCTATTAGGTCATACTATGCATTCAAATCCTGGGTCATTGTACCCGCCAATGCCCGCAGGATGTCAAGTCACCCAACCTCTCTTCGCTCAACGGACGAGAAACGCTTCAAGCGATCGGTCTTCGCCAGCTGCTCCTCCGCCGTAGAGCTCAGCGCCTGCGGCATAGCGCGGAGCTGCAAGCGGAGCACAAGTGGGTGCTGTATGGTTTTGTAGCAGTTGTGCAGTATAACTATATATATACAGTATATAATACAGGTGGTTCCAATGTTGGATACAGGTGGTTCCAATGTTGGGTCCAAGCGTTAAACCAAACTAGCTCTTACTTTCACGTAGTTCAACCATCAAGTTTGGAACATTCCCATGGTGTAAGAGTTGCGTACTATAGACTATATACAGGATCCCATGTGAACCTATCTGCGATCCACAACAAAGACGAGTTGGCTGGTGGAGCCTCATCATCCAGTCCAAAGTGCTCAGCATGCCGTGCCCGAGAACACGGAGCTCATGTTCAGTTGTGTGGCAGTTTGAGGGGTTGTGTGATTTGCGCAAGCACATCAGGCAACCCATCAATATAGACTATTGAGACCACCCCCGAGAAGTGAATCTGGTTGTACAATTCTTTAAACATTAAAATTGATCATATATCCCTGGTGAAAAACAAATGGTATTGGCTTGTGCCTTCCCCAATGGACAAACAAGCTTAGCACTTTGGCTTGTGCTGTTGGGTTTGTGCACGTAACTCGTAGTAATTAGCATATATAATTCATGCAAAGAAGCTGACGTGAACATTTTGAATCATTTTGAGACCACCCAACCCCCGCTGCACCCAGCCCCAGCTTAACTTGAATCTCTTCAATCTTCATAACACAAAACTTGAGCCCTCAGTCTCTTACTTGAGCCCTCTTACTTAGCTTCAATTTTCAATCTTCTCCCATCTTATCTTACTTGAGCCCTCAGTCTCTTTTATCTCTTTTGGTCCTCGCTGGACTACACTCGCAAAATGAGAGGGTCCTCGATCAGCACCAAGCTCGCGTCACTGGCCCTCCAGAAGCATCTTCTTGCCACAACTTGTGGGAAAAGAATGTTCAGTATTATCATCATAAAGCTAACTCTGAGTTTTGATCTGTCTATACCAAAGTTGGACACAAACATGGACATGCGACGTGTTCTATGACGCTCGGAAGGCGTCCGCATGAACAAGCTCTTGGCCGGTGGCCAAGCACCACGAGCCACGAGCGCGTGTAAGGCTCTTCCCAACCTCCGGATGCGATGTGAGCGCGAATGACCGGGAAAAGGCTTGGACGGCTTGGAGGCGACGCCAAAATGGGGTTCCGAGTCACATGAAAGCCACCCGAGTCACATTTCATATGATTTCCATGTTTGCGGGGTGCACTCTGCTATACTACTCCTGCTCTTCTGCGAATCGCTCTCTCCAAAGACCGCGAATCGCTTCCCATCCATCCCGCCTCAAATGATGGCAATGGTCCTGAGGGCACAGGGGAACTTCTCTCAGAACCTCGTCTTTATGTCACTTGGAGCTTCGGAGGACGACCACTGTGATCCCAAAACGCTGCTGAACAGGAAGCCACCGCGAACCATGCGAACCGACTGCATCAAGAGTGATGGGTCATGGAAACGTCGGACAATTCCAAGGTCCTCAGATCTTGGAGTGAAAAACCGATCCAATTCCCAAGATCCACCAATGTTTCGTGCAAGATCTGCAGGGATCCATGTGTTGATCGCTTCCGTTCGCAGTGTGGAGCGAAGCCAGTGTGGAGCGAAGCCAGTCCGCTCGCTCCTCCCCAAGTCGACGTCTCTGAGGGACCCACGGTCGCTGTTCCACGGCCGCGTTCACGTGGAAGGCCACCGCACCTCAGGGGTGTCCCACGGTGGCGGTGTCTAACACATTCAAAGAAGAACTCACAATTGAAACCTCTTTGAAGGTACTTGGACTCTCCAAACCTACATAGCGGTGTCTCCAATCACCTGCTGAGAAGGTACTTGGATCCCTGGGGAAATAGACATCTGTTGGAAGAACATGGCAGAACCACCAAATGAAGATTGAAATCCCGTTGAAACAAGGTGAAATTGGAAGAACCACCAAACAACCAAAGAAGTATACATACCAGGACCATCCACTTGGGCAACAAAAAAACCTACACTACTTAGGGACCTCTAGCCAGGACACCCATTTGAGGGTCCAAGCAAACAAATAATGGACAATTGCAACTGTAACATCATTTGAAACAAACGGTCATGTGGTCTAAATTAGGCCTGATAAAACATGGTAGGGCAGCCCGTGGGGGGCTTCTCACTCCGCTTGGTCATGTTGCTGCTGAGAAGCCGAGAGATGGCACCACCAGGTTTGCTGTACCTTGGCGAATTGGTGGTGCATGGTGGTGCGTTGGAAGTGGCGGAGACCCTCTAAGACTCCTAAGCACTGGGTCCCAGTTGATGAAGCGTGGGTACAAGTAGAAGCCATGCAACGCAAGCAAACACCTTCGCCGCGAGCACGGTGCTTGGTGGACTCCCCTCTCCAGGTCTGCAAAACACCAAAAAAACTGATGCGCCATGCGCCAGCCACCATTTCCAACCATCTCTCCACACCGGCCACGTATTCTCTGGTCTTCCGAAGTCAAAAGAAGCCGAGCCACCATCCGCCTTCACCTCCACGTTGGAGCCGCTGGATTGGATCACATTCTTGTACTGCCCTGGAACGCGTGGAGCCGAGAAAGCGTTGAACGAATGGATTTTCCGGGTGGGGCGGGGTCGTGTGGCGACCCAAAGTTGCGCCATCCAGGCACAAGAAAAAGAAGGTTTACACTCTGACTCACCAACATGGAAGTGGAGAATGGCCCCTTGGAAGACCATTTTCCACTACAAACAGTGGGTATGTGTTCGTCGGAGTGTCGTTTAATGGTTACAGTGACGTCGGGTTTTGCAAAACAAGAAGACGGTACCTGTACCATGCTTGCGACGCATAAGACGCTCCCCGAAAGACCGACTGGCACGGTCATTCAAGCTCCCCATCACGGAGGGACAACCGGAGGGCAATGGCTCAAAGATGCTCAATATCCTCTAGGGCTCCTGTCCCACCTCCTGAGAAGGTGGTTGGGGTGGGTGCCAGGGGGGTCTAACCACCTTCTGAGGATATGGTTGGGGCCCTAGGCGTCCTAAAGACAGAATTTTGGTGACAAACTCCCATCTGAAACCACTGTGAAAACATATGCAGAGCCTGGGGGATGTAGACATGACTTGACCCACCCTTCCAAGTCCTCTCAGCCGGCCAAAAGGCCCAGTTCTGAACGGCTCAACCCTTTCAACTTAATCGCTTTCTACCAGTTCTTCAGTAGAGAAACCGATTCCCCAAAAAGCTTTGCAGGCGATCCACTTGTCCTAGGTAGGTGTTCACGCACCTGCTGGCATGCTGGTCTTCACGGTCGTCGTCCAGGTGCCTGAGCCACCTGACGGGACTGCGCGGTGGAATCCGGGCTCCGATGGGCTCCGGAGCGCGCCCCGGAGCGCGCGGAACCGGAACTGGGCGAAGATGGGGTACGAATGGTCCATCCAAACCCCATGGATCCACATAGCTTCTCAGGTACGGCAATTGGAGACTATTTATATAGGCTTGCGGGGGCCCAATGACTTTCTGAGAAGTTATGTGGATCCACAGGGAAACCCTCAAAATCATACCAGTCAAACCATCCAACCCGGTGGAAACAATGGAATTAACATAGTGGAAACGCTTCGCAGCGAATTAACAAACTGAACGTTCGAACGTTCGCGCCCAACAAACTCCTCAACAATGGCTGCCTGCTTCTGAATCTTCTGAAAGATCATTTGGGGTCAAATTCAGCCGGCCAATGGGCTGGACTGGTTCCTTTCATGTGATCGGTCAGGGTCGCCCTTGGAGGCCGGAGGCTCAGCTTATACATCGAGGAGCTTTGAAGCTATCCAAAGGTTTATGCCCCAACAAGCTATCCAGCTAAACGTACGGGAAATGTGGAGATTTGGGCCATGAACTGGTAAAACATCTGGTCAACAAGGACTTGACCCGTGGCTGAGCTCATACCATCTCATACTCATCCTCTACCTCCCCCAACTAGAATTTAGTTTAGCCCAATTGGACTCACACCAGCCCTCCAAATGCCCAGCTTCTCGAACCTATTATGGCCAAGCTTCGGTTCAACGCCACACAGGCGGACGAACTGCGGCAAAAGAAGGCACCATTCCTGACCACTGATGAGCCAAGGGCCCTATTTTGCCCCAAACTGCTCAGCCACAACGTTGGTTCTCTTCAGAATTCTTCAGGTTTGGGGTTCCCTTCTGCAAAGCTGTTCTGAGGGTAGCGCTCGTTTCGGGCCCCAAAGCATCACAGGGTGCCACATGTCTTGGAGACCGTGACCCAGGCCTGGAAACATGGGTCACACGCGTTCAGTGCCAGGGTCAGTCAGCCCGAACCGAAATGAGTCAGTCAGCCAAGAGCCGGGCTTGGAATCGATCATGCGATTTTTCGGGAGGTGGGACAGGTGAGATATAGATCTCGATCCCTGAAAACCGTGGGCGCGGGGTGAACATGTTTCTTTTTTGAGGGTGATGTTCTGTATGACCCCGGACGTGATCCCTGTGTTCGCATCCTCGCTTCTCTGGCCGATCCTTCCTCCAAGTGTCCCATCATCTGATGCAGTGAAGCTTTCCAGTGTTTTGTTGGCGCCCGCGCTTCGCCTCAGGGGAAGGGGGTGGGCGGGAAATTCTGCCGGCCAAGAAGTTTCAACCCAACGAGATAGGAACCAACATAGAGTGGTACATGGTAGGAACCATCTTCTGGTGCTTTTGCGTTACTTTGTCGGAAGACTGCAGCCAGGGCCTCCCTGTTTTCGTCTCCCAATATGGCCTCCCCTCCCTTCCGTGGACTTCAGCGAGCGCACTGGCACGGTCGAAGGACTTTCAAGGAATGTCGACACTTCGACGCTCACACCCATCAATGAAGACGTGTCGAGGTCATGCCACTGGTCTGCCAAACGTGCAATAGGGCGAACCCAACATCGTTGATACCACCAGCTTGGCTCAACAGTAGCCGCACCGATACAAGATTGGACGATGGCACTGATCCTCCCAAATGGTAGGAGTAACATCAGCAACTTGTGCATCCAAAGGTTTTGCCACTTGCGTCTGGAACCAGAATTGCCGACATCATCCAACACCCTTTGACGTCACACAGCAACAACCACAGATTCCTGCGCATGCCGTTCTGTCCAGCCGTTTCTCAAGCAAAGGGTGCTGTCTGCAATCTTTACAACATTACGAGCAGCAGCATGACATTCTTGCCTCCCAGCTCCCCCAAAAATGGTTTCGGAACATTTAGCAGGTCCTTGCAGCTGTTTGAATGACTCTTCATCTGGTGTGATACTTACCACATATTCCAGTCAAACCAAACACATTCAGATTCTGGCAACCCGTTCAGAACCCTGCATGTAGTCACCAGAGTCTGTTGGTTGGGATTAGAAACAAAAACATATGAGCTTAGTTGAACAATGTTGAGCACACAGAATCTGCAGGAATTGTTATATAATATATATATATAGGATCAACAACACTTTGAAGTTCATGTTTGCGTTTGATCGACCTTTGTTATCGAAAGACTTTGCTTTCGCTGCTGCAGTCTTCAACAACCACTACTGTTTACAGTTTACATGATGATAACTTGTTACACTCGTACGACAACTGTTCTTCTCGTCTCACTCGCCGCAGCCTGTCCCGTTCCAATCGCGACTTTTCGAGTCAGCTATGTGTTTCGACCCAACCTATCCCAAACACTCCATGTATACCATATGTGCCTACATAACCACCCCATGGTGTGTGGTAAATATACCAGTCCCATGGAGTGTCTGGGTATGGTATGAGGATCTTGGAACTGAATCTTTTAGACCACAAATGCCGTCTCCCGACCCAAGCCGCCTCCACGCCACCATGTTCGCAATCTCTGGGTAGCGATGTTCGCACACCCACGGCTGCCCGCCGCAGGCGACTGAGGGAAGCGGTTGAAGGGTGAAAGTGAGGTCACCAGGAACTCCAAGCTTCCAGTTCCACATAGTCTGATACCGTCTCCTTGAGTTTCCCTGGAACATATTTCTAATTTGAAGCTAATTCAGCTGTTCATGTTTAGTGGTCTTCCATCCATCCGTCTTCACTTGATGGATGGACGTTTATAGGAGTCGTTCTTTGCGCTTCCCAGCCATCGCCGCCATCGCCCCCCGGCCTCCCGTGGCCGAATGCACGGGCTGCGAAGGTGGCCCCTGGTCATGGGCATCGAAGACATAAGAGCTCATGACCTGACGGACGTTGGGACCGGCCAGCAGCCCCAAACAGCTCCAAAACAGCTCACCTGGGAAGATATGTTCCTGATCTGATGCCCGGATGGATAGAACATGCATGAACATGATAGAATAGTGAGTCTAAAGTAAGTTGGTAATAGACTTCATGACGTGCCCCCAAATGCATCCAAACATGCGGCCTTTGCCCCCTGACAGTGGTATTAAACCTTTCGCTGGTTCATTTCGAACGACCGCTCCACTGCTCTGCCTTGGGGTAGCCATATGGATGTGCCAGCATGAAGACCTGAGGGCGGTGCAGGGCCAAGTGTCCAAGTGCAGCAGCTGTCACCCCACTTGCAGCACACTCAGCACACTCCTGTTTGGTCCGTGTCTGCTGCGCTCGTCCATCCGAACGGGGTGAAGAGTCCGTGGGGTGCGTAGCTTCGCATAGACAAAAGGCACAGAACTGGGAGCAACAGGAGCAAACTGCCCATGTTCCATATGTTCCATATACTTTGCCAACATGATCCAACTGTCAAACAGAACAGCTGGTTCTCACCGCTCTTCCTCTCTCCAAGTCACGTTGGCCAAGGAGTATAAACCACCGTTCTTGTAGGTGAGCTGTGCTTCCCCTCGCTGTGTATCATGATTGTCCATGAACACCTCAGCACCACCCCAGCGAAAGCAGCTACACACAGGAGCAATGGGGGCAATGGGGGCCACACCTACCTCTTAGCACTCGAGTGGCGTGCCACTTGCCACCCAGGGACCTTCTTACAGAAGGTCCTTGGACTTTCCAAGCCTGCAAGCCTCGGAGGGTATGTGGATCCATATAGGGGCCCTATGTCCCACCAAACACAACCTTTTACAAGCTCCAACCTGCCCACACCAGTTTCATCAACCAACTTGCCATGCGCTAGAATGAAGCCACAAATACCACCATCAGCATCCAATGTAAAACTCATCCATTTGGGATTGCAAACCTCAGGGGGGTTATTAAAGGTCATTAAAGGTCAACCTCCCCGAACACGCCCGTGTGGGCTCGCCCTGTTCTCAAGCAGCCAGGGCACCACTGCGGTGTCGCTGGAAATCAATCCCCAGGACTCCCCAAAGCTGCCCAAATACCTCGGCGTTCAAGCCCAGGAGTTTCAGCAACGCACTAATAAGTGTGAGAGAGAGTTCTGGTATGGTGCTCTCTGGGTGAGGATGCAAATACATTGACCCAAAGATTTGATGACCAAAGCCTGAAATAGACTTGCTGATCAATGACAACAAGCTATTGGCAATTCCAACTGGAGTTCCAAAGATTTGATGATATCGCCATTGAGTCTCCGGAGTCCCTGGTTGTTCATCGCCCGAGCTGCTTGAGCTTCCCCTCCTGCAGAAAGTTCGGCGCCAGCTGCCGGGCGTAGTTGAACTCGGTGACCTGGCGAACTCGCCGTCGGCGGAGGTGGCTCAAAAGCCGAGGTGAGAAAGATGGAGCATTGGTGGGATCGGTTGGGACAAGTCTCTTGCAAACGATCCCATGGAACCCGACGACCGGTGGTTTTCGACCATTGTTCCTGAAGACCGACCCAGTGGTCTTGGAGTTCCATGTGGTCCTCCGCAGGGGAGTAGAAAATTTCGATGTACTACAGGACATGCAATGTTTGCAAATGGGATATGTGAGAGATATCATCATCTCTGTATAGGATCTTTTGTATGGGATATGTAAATATAAAATAAACTAAAATGATATAAAACAACCTGGGAGCATTGTCATTGGGATATGTTGCACACTTCTCTCACTGTGGGTCCCACTGTGGGCATATGATGTGTTCGGAGAACTGGGGACACATACTGTTGGTCCTGTTTCCTGTAAGGCCTGTATCCATCTGTTGGATAAAGTAACAAGTCTCGTCCTAGATGAACCCCGCACCAGCCCTCGGAGGCCTCTACCTCAGGACAAGGATTCAATCTCCCCAACAAAAACATGAAGGACAGTTAAGAATGTCACACACAAATCCAGAATCATACCAGGACCCTCCTGTTGGGGTGTCCAATGGACTACCCCACACTACCTATGCATCCAGTGCTTTGTGCTGGTCAGGGGTAGGGGTAGGGTAGGTAGGCTTCCAGACAGGGCACCCCTTGGAGGGATCCTTATCATGACTTTTGCTACTCCGACCCGCCGGTCCATCGGACCCAGCATCCACGCCAACCGCCGAAGCCCACCTTGCCGATGCCCTGGTACATTTGTGCAGTGACCGCTTCCCCTCCGCCCTGGCACACATGGGCACACATCGAAACATCCCAACGCACACATCCACGTTGGCGTCATGGTGGGAATGGTGTTTTGTACAAAATGGTCTCTAAACAATTGGACGTACCTCTACTTCCACAAAATGGCATGGCTGGCCCATATGTTCGCTACGAAATGCTTTTCCACAAACCCAGTTTGCGGAACGTAATGAATGAATGCTACAGAATCAGTTATCAACGTGTCCAAAGATTCAAGAACTATGTATCTTCACTGGCTCAAGAGATCCTATCAAAAAATGCTCAAGTGGATTGTGGGAAGACCCTTAGGCATTTGTTTAAAAGGGCTATCTACAAAGTCACGTTCAAAACTCTTGAAAATCCTTGTCCACGTGCACTCAATGTATAGTCTTGCAAGGATAACAACTGCTACAGAATCAGTTTTCAATGAGAATTCCCACAGATTTCTCTCTACAAATTTAGGAGGTGATTCTTTACATAAATATAAAATCAACCGGAATTCGCTATCCCATGGATCAAAAACACCTGATCCTAAATGATCCCTTTCAATCCATGAGACCTTGGAAGATGTGCCAAATGTATGATGTATGAGTGATGTTGATGTTCTACCCAAACACTCCATGTATGTCATATATGCCTACATTGGGGTGTAGGCATATACGGCATACATGGAGTGTCTGGGCTAAGGTTGAATCGGTCAACGTGCTACATATTCCATACGTGGAGAGTCGAGAACGCACGCAGCGGACGCACGCTGAGGTCTTCGACGACCGTCTAAGAGTCCCTCCTCTTGCTCGTCGAACGGTTGATCTCCGGGGTCAAGACTCGTGAAGCCGAAATTGCCAAGATATATTGGGTCTGTTCGTTCTTACCTGTAACAGTCAGTAAACAAGCAAATCAATAACCGAACCATCATCCACTGTTACAGCTAAGAGGATAGACCCAAAATATATACATAGTCCATGCAAGGTGCATGATTTGCTAAAAGCTGCCCTGCACCGTCTCCAAATGTTTGAGAGGCGAACCGCACAACTCGTGACTGGCGTGAGGCACCTCGATGACCTCCTGAAAGACCCAAGGAAGGCTTCCAGTCTGCTGCAGCAGCGCCTTCAACTCACCTTCAACTGCAGGGTCAAAGTCAATGAAACATAATCTGTGGAAGTAACTTCCTGGAAGTAGCTTGAACCTCCATACACATGTTGGGGTAGAAAGCCCTCAGCCGGTCTGTCGGCACAATGCCCTGCACTCTTTGCAAGCTCTCTTCCAGTGAACGTGGCAAACTGGTTGAAGGGTTCTTCCTAGGATGTAGGCCTGCCACAAGATGAGAAGAACAAAACCATTGCATGTTCAGGTGTTTTTCCATCATCCTACTGCATCAGAACGGGAGTGCTTGCCATTCCCCAAATGCACGGGAGTGTTTGCTATCAAAGTAGCATCTTATAATAAGGTGCCGCTTCTGTCTACCAGGGGTATGTAAAAAATATCAAACCTAAAGGTCCTGTGGACCAATCCTGCCCAATCAATGGGTTGCTGAGCGGTTGCTGCTGCTCTGTTGTTCCTTTCTTCCCGACTTGCGCGACCTCTAAGTGACACCATGCCCAAATCTATGCTTTGGGATTGATTTGGGATAGTTTGGGGCAAGAAATTACTCCGCAAGATCCAAGCCTCTGGAGGCTTCGGAAGAAAGATCACACTTCGACTCCGCAAGAGGGGCCCCACGCCCACGCTTGGCGTCGTGCTACGTACGTGCCTGCGTCTTGATGCTTGGCGGCATCGATGCGGAACCCCGCCACACCACTCCTGGGCGGAACAAACCGGTGGAGCAAATGGAGACCCTGAGGTTCGTACGGAATCCAGCCATTCCACGAAGGTGGGCCATTAGAGGTGAGACATGGCACAAGTTCTCTCCCCCAGCTCGGAGGTGAACAAATGGACCCCTTCTCTAAAGGACATCTTGGGGTGCCAGTGCCATCTACTCTGAAACCACTGTAGACTTCATTAACCACTATATAAAATATAAAATATAAAACAACAACAACAACAACAACAACAACAACAACAACAACAACAACAACA